TTCCTTTCCCCACACTCCTTACACAGCGCTGCACACGCTGCCCAAGCCGTAGGTGCCACAGACAACAAAAACACAGGAGGAGTTATTTTGTGTGGCCAGAGCCCATGCTCGTGCAGAACTGCAGTGACACTGGTGTGTGGGTGCAGGCAGCTGTCACACACAACAGTCAGAACTGCAGTGACACTGGTGTGTGGGTGCAGACAGCTGTCACACACAACAGTTTGACCCCCCAAAAATGGGGTTATATTGGCTGCAGCTGATGAGATCAAGGCATCTCGTAACAAAGAGGCCGAGACCTTGGACTCTGATTCCATAAATATTGTTCTTCTTGTGAAGGACAAAAGCCTTCAGCTGCAGATGTTTAATCAGTAGTAGGCAGATACACTGCTTTTTTTCTTTACTGGCTTTGTATGGTTTGGGCAAATAATAATGGTTCTGTAACCTGACACAAAATTAACCTGTCATTTTTTTAAATCTGAACCAGGAAAACACAATTAGGTTGGATGAGAACTTTGCATCACGTAGCAGTGGCATTTCTGACCCAGTACCAGGTGCCCTACAGCCAGATTTGCCATACTCTTGTTAGATGGTCTCACTCAGTCTTTAGTAAGGGTCTCCTAAACTACAATGCAATGTCAATCGAAAGAATTAATGGTTTTAAAACTACTTTATGGTCCATAAATGAGTAATGGAGGAAAATGGTGAAAGTACCAACTGGTTAACTCTGCTACTGGCTTTTTACACTCTGATTAGATATAAAGCAAGCTACCTTGCAAGGGAAACCTTACAATTTAAGATACTTTGAATATGTGACTTCCCTTTTTTCATCATTACATTATACTTAATATTGAATTAAATCTCGATCTGTTTCCCTTATGCAGCAGAACTGGGCAAGGTGGAGTTGCACTTGTTTTCTCATTTTCCAATATTCAGGAGCAAGAACGGACGTGACTCTCGCTCTGAGCATCCTCTGACCCTCAGATTCCTGACAAAACTACTCTCCTGCCTGCAGGTGAGAAGAGTGCAGTCAGGTGCCTTACAAAAGGACAAACCTGGCAATTTCAACCACTTTATTACCATAAAAGTATGCAAGTTTTGACAAAAAATAGAACAAGCTGTTTTAGACAGGCAGCAAGAAATTGGACCATGTCCTGTAACTTAAGCTCTGCCTTATTTCATTTCTTTGACATGTGAGGGAGTTTTACAAATTTAGGTGAAACATAAACAAATGTTATGTTACTTCTCATTTTTTTTAATATGATGTCAAAAAGCTGTTTCTACAGCTCGCTAGAAATTTGTAACATCAGAAAGAGGTAGTTTTTATGCATTATACGTGTTTCAGTTTTTCAGTTCTCCTTGGGTTTTCAGTCAGTGGATTTTGTATGTCTACACTATTACTACCAATTTTTCTATTTTTTATTTTTTTTTAAATGAAGATCTCCATCTTTTGTGATTTGACTGCCAGCATTTGCAGCAACTCATTCTCACATTTTTTAATAGATTTTTTGGTGTTGGAATGGGATCAGTTACCTGACAGAATCTGCTCCTTGCTGGAAAAGAAATAATGAACCATGTTAGCACATTACAACAGGTGTCAATTTGCTGCAGGAGGTAAGAAAAACAGTAAGAGCAGCAAAGAGATACACAAAGGTCAGGCTTTAATACCATGAGCGAATTGCTTCACCGTACTTTTTCCATCATAAAAAGCAGTGCAGAAAAATTAATCTCTCCTCTCCTGGGGTTTACCTCTAAAAAAAGTTGCTGAAGCTGTGGTTTAAAATAAAACAGGAAAAAAAAACAACTCCTATCCCAATATAATAGTATCCAAGCTTGTAGTTTCTCAAGCTATTGTTTGATGACTATTAATATGCTCACTGAATAAATGCTGGGTCAATGACTGTGTATTTGTTACATCAGCCACAGCACAAAAGAAGTTTATTCTGGCTTTGTGCCAGCCCCAGGAAGCAAGGTGACACCTGATTCAGCAAAAATCCCACCTGTAGTAAGCTGCCCCCTCAATATTTTTTAAGGAATAAATTTATAACAGATCAGTGCTTTGAATCATGGGGCTATTAAGATATGCAATATTACACGCCCTAGAGCTCTTCTGCTCTAACACTGATGCAGTGTCTCAGTAACATCTAGCATGAATTTTAAATTAACAGCCTATTTTGTTCTGGAGTAACATCTGTGTGACTGTTTGTGCACCCTCTGAACTGAACCACTGCGAAACAGAGAGTTGGTCAGCTGCTGTCCTGTTCCACAAAAGGGAAGAGGTTTTAGGTTTGCTAAGAAATAAAGAACGCTTGTATCTAGCAGAATAAAGAATCATGTGTTTTTCAATAAATCACAGTGGCATTTCTGTGCAAATAACTTACATTTACAAGAGAGAAATGGAGTTGGAGTGGTCAGAATCTTGTACATAAAGAACAGAATTTAATTGATATTTCTTTCTGGGGAAGTGTGTCCCTTCTTTCTCAAATGGCTTGTGTTCAAAGACTGGCAGAACTGCTCCATGTACTGCATGATGAGCAACACTGGACACAAATAAAATAACCTGGGAGGGAAAAAAAAAAAAAAGAGAGGGAAAAAAAAAGACTTTTCTTAAGTTTCTGAAGGTAGTTGACTTTGCAGCTCCAATAACAACTGCACTGACAAAACTGAGGAAGCTTTTCCAGGATAGGAATGAGTGGCCTAAGTAAGGGAAACAAAAAGGGCCACTTAAGAAAGTGTTCACATCCATAAAAAAATTCCTCCAATCACAGTTTCAGACAATAATCAGTACAGCTTTTTCTCCAAAGTCACCTGTCAAGCAAACAAAAGCACTAGTTTACTTCAGAGATAATAAGAAAGAGCACCACTAAACAGTTACAGATCTGTTGCTCCATGACCCTAATTTGAGAAGAGCAAATCCACTGATTTATAATTTTAAGTTAACATCACAGGCTTTTACCTGGGAAGAAGTATTACTATTCGATGTAGAAAGACAACAGTAACCTATTCTCTTGGTTGGAATGACCACTTTATTTTTTTTTTCGTTATAGCTTAATAATGCAGGGCTTTGACAGCTATATCAATTCCAGGACTCTGTACACTTGCCCACTTCCTGCTCCTAACCTCTCTTCCTTGGTTCCCTGCAGTTTGGAAGCTTAAATCATTGAACCTTTCCAGGTTGAAAATACACGTCACTTTTGGGAAGTTAAAAGTGTGGGAAGAAAAATGAGATTTAAATAAAATAATGATGATTTAAAAAATTATCAACCCAGTTTAAAGGGGTTGTAACACAAAGTCAGTGCTTTTGTCAAAGCAATCTGTGAAAGGGCTGACCTCATCTCGGTGGCCAGCAAGTGCCCTCTAGCAGAGGGACAACTTTTCCGCATAGGCACCGGCTGCCAGAAGATCCCAGACAGCGCTGGATCGCCTACGCTTGTGCAGGGCTTCCCTCTCCTCTCTCGGGGAGGAGTCGCTCTGGAGAAGCAGCCCTGCTCGATACCCCGCAGCCTCAGCCAGCCGGCCTGCCCACCCAGCCCCGGCAGCCCCGCTCGGTTACAGCCCCGGGGGCAGCGGGGGCCGCACACACGTGTCAGGGGCGCGGTTGGGGTG